ATATATACTTAACTACAATGCTATAATTGCAAAGAACTAATATACTTATAAAAATCTAGCTCTTAATTAAGCTATAGAGTTATTTTAGCATCTTAGGTATAAATCTTAATAGTAACAAAGCTAGCATCTTATTCTCTTTATATAGATAATTAGAGTTTAGAGGATAAGTAGAGGTAAAGAACGCTAAATATACTAGATATCCTAACACAGCTAGACTGTAGAGTATATACTATAACTAAGTTTTTCTATAACTTTAAAGCTAGAATTAAGAATCTTACTAAGTTGTACTAGATAAAACTAACTATAGCTATACTACAGAAGGCGCTTCTTCTTAAAGAGCTTACTAGCATTTGTTTTTATACTCTAGAAGCGTAAAATTTTAAAAATATAAAAGGGAAATTTAAAGTAAGTACATGCGCGTTAACAAAATCTTAGCATAGTGTAGAGACACTATATTATTATAGAAAGTTAGTGTAACAGTCCAAAGGCATGTTAGCCGCACTAATGCCTAGCATAGTTAATAACGCGTCTGTGCTCATCAATCAATTAGCCAGCGGCAACAACGACGCTAGCAAAGCAGGGTTCTGTCCCACCATCACGCGGACTCCGCTCGTTACGCGCCAACTATTCTTAAACTCCTCCAATAGTCGGACTCAGAGCACACGCGCGTCAACCTCTCACCCCACAATGTCTCATTCTGACTTGGCGTCACTTCTTCATAGCCACATTCGGGATGTGACTGAAGTTGCTTGAGCGAATGACGGAGGATAGAGTGACGCTCTTGCTATTTTAGCAAGTATTGGATTCTGCTTGGAGTGAAGCTTCAAACTGTTGCGGCACAGCATCAAGAGCTCAGTGTTGCGAAGTCTAAGAACTGAGAGTATAAGAGCAGAGGCTCCCTTCCATCAATCATGCCTATTCTCATCAATCAACATTCATTATCAACTTCGACGGCAATTAAGTTTCAACGCGTCGTTCATGGTAATATTATCCTTACATCCCGCAGAACATGTGACTTGCCTTATAATAGCTTCACTATATCAGAGTCAAAGATGCCTGAAAAGCATTCAAGCCAGCAATAATTGAGGTCACTCAAGTGTATATACCTATCGTCCGTCAAGTCTTATTCATATCAATTACAGCACCACTAGCCTTCCCAAGTCACACGTGCTCTCTTTTTCCTGCATCGTATACAGTCCAAAAGCTGATGTCCGCCGTCACTTTCCTCCTTCACTCTCTTTAGAATGCTTCCTTTTCGACATCTCTGCATCTGATCTTTCGTTTTGCCGATGTCGTTTCTCAAGTCATCTTTTAGCTCTTCTAGGCTTTCTATAACGTATTTGATGCTGTTCGCCGTCTCCTCTGCGCCTTTCTTTAATTGGATGAGGTGTAAGTCGACCTGAGTGACTATCAATAGCACCCTTTCTATCGCAACACACTCGGTCAATCGGGGCCTAAGACTGTTCGAGAAGACATACCAAGCTCAGACTGTTGGGATGAATCAGCTGTACGACGTGGTTGGCCTTTCGCAAGCCCTTTGTCCACTCTGTCATCCTGAGCATCCTTTTTGCATTCTGGTGCTGACTTTGAAGAGTGAGAAGCCGATCGAACAGAATGCGGGCTGTACTCTGTCTCAGCCGCTCTAATTGACTCGTCTGAATCATTTGCCGTGAACTAGTATACTCAGCAATAGATCGCATCAGTCTAGCATCGATATACACACCATGTCTTGGTATAACGTCGGATCTTCGATGGTGTCTTGAGAATTCATCTTGAGGAAGCAGAGGCGCTTATAGGGTTTGAAAGGGAGAGTACTCTAGGAAGTGGAGTGATTAATCTCAGAGACTCAAGGCAAGAGGCCCTTTTATATTCCGCTTTTTTACTGCTCAGCTGATTTCCAGCATTACCCGCACCCCGGGTTTCGGTTTCAGAGAAGTAATGGACATGTTACCTTGCTTGCCCGTTCGTGTACGCCCTGCGATAGCGCAAGGTACTCAGGGCTGTGCAACGTCAGCCCCTCTCACTCCTCTCATGGACAAGATCTATGCAGCACTGCCTAATTCCTTGAACTTATGGTTTCCTCCGTGTTAGTTTCCTACCGCTTTGTAAGCCTGAACCCTTGTTAATTGCTTCATAGACTTTGAAGACTTCACCAACCGGTGACTGCTGTTTCCTTGCGTATAGAAATTGTACGGGCCTATCCGATGTTGAAAATTATGCCACTCAAGCAATTGGCCATGGCAATTCCCTTCTGCAGCAGTCAATGGACAGCGCCAGCTGCGCCACTACCGGACATCATGATGCCGCCGGCGCTCCAGTTTGGCAGTAGGAAACCCGGTAACATTCCTGGTTCGCTGTATCCCCTGGCATTGCAGGAGCAGCGGTTTCCAAATTTCATTAAAGCTTATAGGAAACGCGGCCAGCCCAGCTACGGATTCATGCGGCATTACTATATGCGGCTTCAAGGGGAGGCTGTCTTCCCAGCGGGTGGGGTGGAGTCAGGCGCAACGCAGGTGAGGCACCGCAGTACACTGCACAGCCTTTCCCGTTCTTTCACTCCTATGAACAATCATACCAGGTAGCCCTAAGACATCAGTTATGCCTCGTTCATGCGATACGCCTGTTGGTGCCGGGCCTCGAACACTTACAGTGAACATGCTCGGCAAGTGAGGCATATCGATCTCCGAATCTAGTATATGAGTGGTTGTCTTCCCATACGGAGGCTGTACAAAACCTCTCCTTTCGATATGACTTCGTTCCTTATCAGCTTTACTCCTTGCTTTTCTATTGGGCTCCTGCTGAGCGTGGTGCTCATATATCGCGATGTCCAGCCTCACAAACCGAACAGGATGAACGAGAGGTTAGGGCACCCCTACTTCTGGGAGAGAATTCTGTCTGCTCTCCTCGACACTTGTTAAGCAGGTTTTTCAATAGCTGGCATAACTGCAATTGGATTCGTGCTTCGCTCGAAAGGCGAGATGTATTGGGTAGACATAGCTGTACGATGCAACCTCCAGCTTCTCGCCGGCACAAATGTAAGAAAATCCAAGTAAACTCTTTGGACTTGCTAAATTATAGGATAACCAGCTCGCCCGGATCCTACGTGTTTTGATGTTTCCCCGCTGGGCCGTATGGTTGGCATACATGGGCACCATCTTGACGGCGCCGAATATCGTTTATCCTCTGAGGTAAGAAATGCGACTTCAACTTTCCTATTCTTCTAAGCAAAACAGGAGCAGCAATACTTACTCTGCCTACGACTCGGAACCACTCTATCTCCTTGCAGTAGCATCACTCCTATCCTCAGCGATTTCACGTGGTCGGCTAGAAGATCATGAGAGTTCAGGGTCGGAACAAGACAGCTCGGGATACAAGCGATTGCTAACCGTTTTCGTCATCACAAACGCAATTGCGGGGTCATGCCAGCTGTGTGGAGCCATCGTTATTTACAGTATATCGCTCGCCGGGAGTGAGATGGAAACTAGCGTATGCCAGAGAATTTATCTCGTAGGTCTTGATCATCGTCGTTGCGCAAACTAACCGCGGACAGGCTTGTACAGTGTCACAGCTGCTGTGTCCTCTCGCTTTCTGCTTAGCTGCAGTTAAGCGCCGAATCATTAAACCTTTCAAAGCTCTAACGCGCAAAGTACAATTAACAAACATAGGTGATTGCAATATTAAGGGTGCAATAAGATTAGACAGCCTATAGAACGTTGCGAATTTCACACGAAGACAGGCGCATGAGCTTGGGAAGGCCTTTACAGTCGACCTGGCCGAATGATATGAATTTTGGCTTGATCTCAGCCCGGTTCCTTTTTGACATCAGTAACGGGCTATGAAAGCGTTCAGAAATGGAAGGGGGAAGGAAGGAGGAGGGGTTGGCAGAGATCACACCGAGCTTTGATGGAAGAGTACTACAAGGCCTACCGCGTCGGCGTAATTCAATGTGGAACCAACAATCACCCTTGGAACCTACCTAGTTCATGCGTCTTACCCTAAGAGTGGCGGTGTTGTATGATATCGGAACAGATTCGTGCATAAACTCTACACTGTTCGAGGGAAGAGACTCCATCACTCACACGCTATGGCGTTAAGACATTCACGTCGATGACGGCTGTCTGCCTTGTGGATCAGACTCGCCGAGCCTTTAATTCGACCAAGAAACACCATCGCAAACTGCGCATTGACATCGACCGGCACGAGCGGAGCAGCTTGATGTGATAATGCGGTTGGACGCTGGTATCCAGACCTTATAGATGTTTGTCCCTTCAGTTCCTATCAGCCATCCCTATAAGCGCTTTGTCGAACCTCCTCAGACCTTATCAGGTGTATCGAAAGGGACCAGCCCTTCAACACGTGGGGCGACAGTAGACAAGGCTGTCGTAGTAGCACCAATAGTAGCATACTAGGTGTTTGTGAGGTAGTTCGCGTGAGAGATAATGCTGTTTAGCTTAAGAGTACGTTAATGCAGAATATTACAGAGATTATTAGATAGTAATAGGCTAGCTAGAAAGCCTATTAATAGCCTTAAGTATGCGTAATATAAACTATAATACTAAATAGAGTGTTTAGGCTCTATTATTATATTTTACGTTACTATGCTATAGCTAGATAGCTACTACTGTATTTAGTAGACGTATTATATTAAGTAGCCTACTTATAAATTTTACTATCTATGCTAGCTAAAGCAGTAATAGCAGCTCTATAAGTACTATACTAACGTAGAAAACGCGTAATAGCCTGTAGAGACTATTACAGCTATTAGTAGTTATATTTCTAGTCTTTTATAATAATAATTCTAAAAATTAATTTCTCGCTGCTTATTGTGTTTTCGTTATCGAGGATACTCGAGCCGTGCTAAGCTTCTATACTCGCTTAGTCATCTATTTAAATTTGCGCAAATTACTTGATTTCGATCCTTAGCAACGTCTGTTAATTAACCGCAACGCCCCACCTATCCTAAAATTACTTAAGGTAGCTTGATACACCCCGAAATTCACATGATCGTTCGTCCGGTCCGTGTTCTACAAGCTACGAGGATGATCTCCACGCTTGTTGGGCAGAGTGGTCGCGAGTATAACCTCCAAAAAGTGCTCCAACGGCACCCCAAGAAGCCTGAACTTAGCGTTTGCCTTGCGCTGTGAGTTCCGCAACTTCCGCGTATCTATCAGAATGGGTCAAACTGACCGCTTTTTCCCAGCTGTGACAAGACACCCTACGTCGTGAAGCCCGTCTCAGAGTTCATCTTAGAGCATCTGCAAGAGTTTCGAGCCGAGTTTGAAGGTCATCCCCGTCTTCGCATTCATGTGGACAGGATCGAAAAAGAGAACATTCTCGTTTACGAATACTTCAAATCAGATTTGCTCGCATTGGTAGAGAATTACCCTCCGCTTCCGTTGATAGCGAGGAAAAAGATACTGAATGAGATCGGAAAAATACTTACTGAAATGCATGAGAAGAATTGGATTCACCTGGGTACAAAACTACCTGCATGGCCTGGCTTCGACAAAAGTTTTACTAATTTCTCTATAGACGTGAAACCGGACAATATCTTCCTCAATTGGTACGTGGACCCAAGCGACGAATTTCACTTGAAGAGAGTAGTCTTAGGCGACATAGACTGCGCTTTGAAATTAAAAGGCGAGAAACTACTAAACTATAAGATTGGAAACGTTATGTGGCGTAGCCCGGAAGGACATCTGGGAAGAGGCGTAGGAAAGCCTTCTGAAGTCTTCTCTTTTGCTCTCTTGGTAAGTCTTGTACTCATTAAGACCTGCACAAGCTTATTGACTGCCCAATCTGGTGTCTCTACGTCATCACGGGGGTGCAGTCATTGCACTTCGACTTCGCGGAGCTTGACACTGAGCCTGAGGTGGTGGTTTTGTTTAAACTACTTTCGAATTTCGGCCCGCTACCGGGTGAACTTATAAAGCATTTCGATGATGCCAACGCTGGTGAGTTTCTGACCGACTTATGGCAGGTAGTGAAGGAGAACGACGGGAATGGGAATTTTGCGGATTGGACAGAGGACGTGTTTCCTAACCTCACGGACGAAGCAAAGAGGCTGATCTTAAGGATGACCAATCTCGATCCGGCCAAGAGGGCAACGATGTCAGAGATCGTCAAGGATAGTTATTGGGTCGAAGATGACAAGTCTTGAGTGACAGTTGGCGTGTTAGGTTCACCGTGTTAGAATTGAAGCATAGCATTGCGGTGGCTTCTTAAAAAGCTTATCTGGTCATAACAGCCCCCGTTCCTTTCCTTGTTTTGCTTCTATGTAACACCTTTCCATCATAGCATCAACGAAAAAACTCAAACTGTGACTCCAGACCCTTCAAGCTCCTCTCATTGTCAAGAGTGCCTTGCTGCTCGACATGCTATTCTATCCTGAGCTCGCTGGTCCGGAAGAGTGGATTTAAGGATAAACATGCTTGGTCGTGATATGGTTGCCCTGGGAATCTTCGAAGACAGTGGTGAAGTGAGACTTGCTGTCGCTTTCGCTTGGATGCTCTTTTTCTCTGAGATTCGTTGTTAGTTCTGTTAAGCACAATGATAATAGGAATTTCTCACGCTAAGATCGCAACAGCAGCACCGGCAGGGACGTCATTAACCCTCTTTCAAGCATCGCAAAACTGGTCTTGCACGCTCTGCGCCAAGAAGCTACGCTCCCAAGTGAAAGTCTTGGTGGCATACTTGACTTGGATGGCTTTACCGCCTGCAGTAATAGTCTTGATCACTTTGCTAGAAATGACTTTGTTGTAGGACATGTTGCGAAGAGGATAAGTCGTCTTGATTTGCGGATGTGGTGTCCAGTTACTAGTCTGTATTGTGTCTTTTATGCAGCTTGATTCAACATACGTTCGTTGCTATCTCTTTTACATAACTGACAACAAGACCCAGAAAGCACCTATTACCAAAATTACTGCGCTATTCGTCACCAGCGACAAGGCGTGACTGAGGCACAGTCATCGGCGCCGAAGATCCATTAGTTCTAATGTACTCAAAATAGCCACTACAAGCAGACAGTCAGCGTAACGCTGGAAGTATATTTACCAGCAATACATTTCGTTGATCAAACGGCGTGAGGCTAACGAAGCTGCAAGAAGAGCTTGGTGATCACCTTTAAGCGCTCGGTCCGGAGTGAATAAGCTCGGGCATAAACGGAGTACTTTCTGGCCACATGGTTTCCGGTCACCCCACCCAAAGTATCCAACCAACACCTGCCTCGCCAGAGGCCTTAACTCCAAGTCAGCAGGCACCAGTAATACGTTTCATACACTAGGAGATACCTCCTAATAGGTCGCTAACTACTCTATATAACAAATATAGTTACAGCGTTATTAGTCAGTATGCAACCACGTGACTATAGATAGTACCTTTGGGCTTACGAAAGATCGGACACAGGCACAGTATGTATATATGTTAGTAGTGAGACGCGTCCAACTTTCTCTACTTTAAATGCTTCTAGCTCTACAGCGCATAGGCTGCGCGACTTCGGTTTTCTATAAGAGATTCTATTTATTTGACTAAAGTTACACCTATTTTAAAAAACTCGAAGTTAGTAAGACGCTTTATGATAAAACGGGAATTTTAAGGTTACTATTAGTGCATCCCACGCTATAACCCCGTCGTCTCAATTTGCCCCTGCGTCATCGGGAGGCCCATAATTACTTCTACCACAGAATGGACATGCAAAATAAAAATGCCTTCATTCCCCCGAATCGAAATCGAAATAGTCCTCCGTCTCAACCAGCCACCCCCCTCAAAGCAGGAACAGAAACAGTGCGAACAAGGACGTCTAGATGCATCATTCTCTGCTTAACAAATTCGCCCCGCTGACTTCGTAGGGAAACGTACTTAAGAAGCCAGGGAATGGAGGACAGAGAATGATACAACTACTTGAGACGAAACCCCTCCTGCCACCCGAAGGCGTCTACCTCGCATAATGATCGAAGCCGATGTTCCAGATTACGACTTCGACATCCGGCCAGATAGCCAATGCCGGCTCTCCACTCCATCTTTTAACCCAGATTACCAGAGTTGTCAACAATCAAGCTCATCAAGCTAAGCTAACGTAATATAGTAATAATTAGGCCTAAAAAAGCTAGCCTACTACTATATCGCGTTAGCTCGGCTTGATGAGCTTGATTGTTGACAACTCTGCAGATTACAAACGACTGTTCGGAAGATATGTATATGTTCCCAATGGCCGAGTCATATGTCCATATTTCACAATAGAGTTCAAAAAAGATAACAACACCATTGAGCCAGGTCGGAATCAGGTGGGGGTTGCTGTAACTCTCGCCTTGTTCGTACTTCTTTTAATCCAATGCTGTACAGCCCATCTCCCATTCTCATTAGAATACAACTTCCAAGTAGGACACTCAGTGGGCCTAGGCAGATTCTTCACCTCATAATCCTTATCGTCGAAATATCGTTGACTTTAATTATTGTCATAAACCGCGCCTTCCCTCCATCAGCGGACGAAATTCTGTCAGCGCATACCAACATACGATTTAATAGTGTTTTACCCTAATCAGCAGAGTTCGCAACAAGCAAGTAACTTGCAAGCCTTGCTTGCTTAACTTAGTGCTAAGCCAAGTCAAGCAAGTCAAGTTCGTCTACATAAAATACCTAAGCAAGTCAAGTTTAGATCCAAAACTTGCTTGGTAAACATGAATAACTTGGCAGCCCATGCGAACTAGCTATATATAGTAATAAATAGGCCCGTGAATCTACATTATAATAGAGCTTTCGTGTTGTGGTTATTTGTTTGGCTAAACTTAGTCAGCTTACGCGTCCTGGCGCGTAGTTATGTGAACTGATAGTGTTCTACTCTATCTGCTTCAACATCAATATCTACGTTATAGCTCTTATTACTCTTGTTGTGACTGTTACCATCCTTATCGCTGTAACCCATCGTCTACTATGCCTGCTCAGCACACCGCTAAAGGCACCAAACGCGCGGCAGGACCTGCGGAACAGCCTGCCAAACGCGTACGCGTTGGCCATGGCAGTAGCAAAAATACACAGCAAAGCTCTCAGACAGTATCAGAGATTGATCTAAAAGTCGACCTAGCGAGCGAGCTGCCTTGTCGACGATGACCGCGCAAAGCCCTGGCCAGCGCAGCGGCCCAGGCCACCGAACAGTACTCTTCTGAGAGCCGATTGCTGTTCCACGCCGTGCCTGAAGAGGCTATTATACCACCAGTCGAAGGCTCTAAAGCTGCTACGGAATCTCTCAGTCTTTCCGCCATCTATGTCATTGCGAACTTCTATAACTTGGGCGGCAGCACAGTACAGTACTGTACTGTAGATCTAAAATCGTAAGAAGGGACGGAAAAAGTGAGACGGATACGACCTAAGGACATCTGCTGGTGCTAGTAGCATGACATCACTTAGCCAGTAAAGGCTCACTTGCGGCTCTGGGCTGAATTCAGCCAGTCCATAGCAGGGCACCGGTTGCGCACTGCACAAAATCAACTTTTGGAAGACTCGACACATCAGTATCAGAACACACCTGTCAGCAGTCGCAGCGGTCTCTGCATGCTGTCACGTTCCCCTCCGTCGATTTGGTACCCGCATAGTCACCGTTACAGCCACGGCAGGGTCGGACGAACAAACTGCCTGCACGCCATCTGTCTAGTCATGATGTAGCAACATGAGATGCGACGACGGAGTCCAAACACTCTCTGGCACAATAGCTATAACACAAAGCACAGCCACCGGGGGACCTTCTGGCTAGTTCAGCATGGCGCTACGGGTTTATCAACAACTGGCCAGCTCGGTGGCAAGTCTGTACAGAAATAGGGGATACAATTGATCACCTTCAAACCTAAATATAGCTCTTATGCCAGCGAACTACTTAGAGGTCAATCGCGTTGCTCATAATGTTCATCGGAGCTCCCGTGCGTGATCGCAGATTCAGGAAATGCATCACCCTCTCTAGCTTACACCTGCCTAAGTGCTTCTGTGATACTTGTAAGGCCACACTAATTGCGAATCCAGCATGTCCGCACGAGCAGTATGTAACGGATACCTGGTAACGTCACTGCGAAGCGAGACACAGGGTGGCAAGACATTTCTGCACTAAAAACTTAAAACATCGTTCTATCGCAAGAGCCTCATCGTAAGAATATGTTGATCAGTTCTATAGCATCTACTTAGTCTCATACTAGCTTGCGAGCGAGATCCTTCCGACATGGTTGACGCTGCCAGTCGCCGGTTGCGCCTGCTTTGCCAAATCTTCATGGTGCTAATAGCCTGGGTTGATCATGTAGTTACTTTATGTATGAGAGGCTGTCTTGCCTGCTGAACACTGTTGCTGCGTGCTCTTGAATTGGAGTGCATGATAAGCCAAGTAGCAGGTAGCAGGTAGCAGGTAGCTGGCAGTAGGCAGGCTGAAGTGCAGATGTCCAGTGCGAGCGACACGAGCGACCCGCCCATTGGCTAGGCGCGCGTAGGCAAGCTCTCACAGTCTCGCCTGGTCGCAGCTTTGTAGGCCATTGATTGGTTATTCTCGGCACACAGAGTTTCTCGTCCTATAGAAAGGGACATTAGCCATATAAGCCAACCTGCAGAATCCGACGTCCCAGCATTGACGAAAGTTATCACAGTAGTGATTAGAGAACAGAAACGTAAGCACCCTGCCGTCTCCATCAACCTGGCCCTCACAGGCGGATTTGAAAGCAAGCAAGAGATCAACGTGCTTGATTTCTATTTAGGGATGTTTTTGATCGCCAATGGGTCTGCGACACCCTTGAATAAGAATCAAACACGGCGATCTCTTGTTTGTTCCAACGTCTGCGCACGCTACGTGTATGTATAGTTGTCAAGGCTCTGTAGCCTCAAGATCGATCATCACAACAGCGATCGAAATTGAGCTTTGGGCTGTCCGCCTCGGTAGACAGGTATGGGCGCTACGGAATGCAGATGCATCTAGCAGCAAGAAAATTATGACTGGCTTCTATATCGATTTTGCGATTGACTAAACCAATATGCTGGACGCTACCAACGTGCATAATCTTATCGATTTAACGTTAAGCCTTTAACGCTCTCCTTGAAAATGCCAGGAGTTCTTGCACCTTTCTGCTTCCACTTTCGAAAGCAAGCTGTTGTGCCGTCCAACTGCGTGGCGCATCCAGCTCTTTCTCTTCGTTG